GCCAGCACGGATAGCGAAGCCCGCCTTTATTAGCACTGACCTTACCTTAATGAAGCGCACTTCATCACTTCCAGGGCTTCACTTCTGACAGGCTAACGAGTCTTCATTAACGCCGGTGCCTAGATGCTAACTCTATTCCCGGCCAATCAGCCGCAGCCGCAGCCGCGCCACGAAGGATCCCGACATCCAGCGTTAATGTCTCGACCCTGCCGTCGGGCCCTTGCGTGTTCAGACAGCGCCTCCCGCGGGTGCTCGACGGTATCACAGGTATCCAACGGCATATTCTGCCCCCCCCCCCCCCACAGGTACGATGGACCAAGACAGCAGGCAGCGCCTCGGACAAGTTCCAGGAGACGTCCATCTTCAACGAGACGCTGCGTATCCAGCGGATCCAGAGGGTGCAGGGCGGACGATATTACTGCAAGGCCGAGAACGGGGTCGGTGTGGCTGCCATCAAGTCCATCCGCGTAGATGTACAGTGTAAGTCGCACTCCCACCGCCCCCCCCACTTCCCGACATTCCGGAATGTTCTGTGAAAATGACAGGAGACCACGTACTTCCCAGGAGTATCTGCGCCCCTGGTGTTTCAGGATCTATGTTCTCTCAAGGTCCTCCGGGATACCGGGCGTGGGTGGGGGGCTGACGGATACTCCTGGGGAGGACGGGCCAGGAAGTGGGTGGATCGGAAGCGGGAGGGCAGACCTGGGTGGCCCTGTGTGCTGTCCATCACCATTGTCCCACTGCCCCACTGTCCCAGGGAGCTGGGGGCCAGGCCTCTGGGGTCTCAGCTGCCACCCCCCCCACCCCCACCCCCCACAGCATAAACACTCCAGGCTTCATCACTCTGCAAACATGTAGCTGTTAATGAGCTGCCCTTGGCACAGTCATCTACCTTGCTTCTGTGGCACAGAGACAAAAGAGAGATTAGCCTTTAGCCTACCCAGGGCGGTGACACAGAGCGGGGGCCCTCCTGTCGATACGGGGCCCCAGCAAAGGGCCCCGGGGGTGTTCCGTTGAGACGTAGGCAGATGCAAACCTCGTATTGCCCGGGTACTGAGAGATTAAACACCACCTTTGTTTGGAGAGGGTGTGAACTGGGTTTTTAAAGCCAAACACCCCCCCCCCCCCACACCGCGTGCATTGAATGTGACTAAGCAGCGTCCTGGCCAGCGGCAGTGCTTTTAGCTGGGGAGGGGCACACATCGTCAGTGCTAATCACTTCAGTTTTGTAAAGGACAGGGACAGGCAACTGTGGTGAATGGGGGGCACTGAAATATAGCTGGACAGCCTGGGGTACAGAGCGGCCTCCCCCCACGCCATGTCTGTCCCTGGGATCCACCCCCCCGGCTGAGCCAGTGTCCTCCTGACCGCAGTATCGAACCCCGAGAACCGCGTGGGAGGGTAAGATAACAGCAAGCGT